CCCCAAAACCCCAAAACCCCAAAACCCCAAAACCCCTTTTATATTCTAAAAGTTGAATAATTTAAAAATTCCTGTTATAATTCAAATTTTGTTAATGGACAGTTGTAAATCAAGGAGTATTTTAGGTGTTTCATTCATATAGTTTCTGAAAGGACTAGTCATGCATCGAAAGTTGGAGGACCAAAAAGATATGAAGAATACTACAAAACTCCTGTACGGAATACTGTTGAAGACAAAGAGAACCAATATTTCATTAAAGGTCAGTTCCAGCAAACACATTTTTACTCTAAGAATGTAGTCACTGGCTCTGGATCTGAAAAGATCAGTGGGAGATTCAGTGAAAACCCCAGGAAAGGGTATATTTATCAGAAAGATGTAATTACTGAGAAAAGTGATTATAAAGCTTTAAGCCAAGGCTTCGATCATGAAGAAAGTCCGATATTAATGTGTAATGCTTCAAAGCCTTCAAAGAAAATGCCTTCATATAAGCCTTTGCCAAAACTGATGGCTAATCTGAATGGAGACTCAAAGGAAATAGTCTCTGCTCGTCTTTATAGTACCCAGGATGAGTTACCTCCTCTTCTCAGATTCCCTTCCAGGGAGACGCAAAGGACTTATGAGGATTCAAGTAAGAAAAGAATGCCTTTTGAAGAGAAAACGGATATCCAAAGAACTATGAATACATGTCAGCAGAACTATGATCCTCCTTCAAGGCCAAAGAGGTTTGAGTACATGGAGTCTCCAGAATATAGATATGCTCCTGAAGATCTCGATAGAAGTGATTCTAGCATATCTTCTATATTCTTAGCTCCTTCAAAAGGAGCTAAGAAAAATATGGATAGACTTGTAAAGATTAAAGAGAAGATCCTCAAGCCACTGGGTGATCACTCCCATGATGTTGATTACTCTTCAATGACTCATTACAGCAGAAGCATGACTAATGGAGATGGGCAGTTTAAAGACTCTGTAGCTTCTCTCTCTGTTGACAACGATGAGGATGACATGGAAGATTTCAATAATGCATCGCAAGAAATATCACGAGAAATTGTAGTTAATTCAAGCCAGAAAATCTCTGATGATCTTAGTAAGAAATCATTGGCTTCTGAAAATTCAAATTCAGGAGAAAGGTTTGAATATAAGCAAGTTAAAGAAGAGATTAAGCTTCCTCAAGAAGAAGTGATTGAATCAAGGCAAAATATGATTAACCTTGAAAATATCATACTCATTGAAAAATAAGATCAATGAAATCTCCAAATGAATCAGCACAATGATTGATATTAATCTCTTATGAGAGGACTGGTGGGAGATCACCCAAGAAGAGACAATGCTTATGAACCTTGGAGAAGTATTCAAGGAGCCAAAGTATAAGGAGATTATTAAGATAGCTACACTTTCAGAGTGTGTCACAGTTTCCATTGTTTATGTAATAAGTCTACATCTTGAGACCCCACCTTCGATAATCTTAACGATCTTGAAAAATATGCTGTTTTATATCCATCAAAACTTTCTAGTACAGATTAAGCTGATTCTTTCAAGGTTGCCGCAAGAAAGTAGAGATAATGTATGGGCTCATTCTCTACAAAACATGGTAGATAGCAAGGGTTTAAAGACTAAGAAGAAGCCAGAGTTATTTGCTCTCCTTAACCACAACAACACACAACTGGTTGCCTTCATACAGAAAATATGAGACGGGAGATTGACTTTGCAGCAATTGGCTATAGCCAAGAATTTATCAGAGAGCCAGATGATGGAAAGCGAACAATTTAGTATAAACTTCTTTTTATCCCCTTTGGCACAGACCTTCCTGATCCTCTCTGAAGAAATCGTTATGAAATCAGATCTCTTCAGTGTTGAATCAGCTAGAGAAGATCTTATTAATACTCTTGAAGGGTTCAACTCAGCTATGGTACTCAAAAGAGAGCAAGGGGATATTCATGATATGTATAAGATTGGAGGCACTGCCTTTGGAGATAATGAAGAGCTTCAGGTAGTTGATCCTCCCTATCTTCCTCCTCTTACTGAGAAGCAACAAGCTAATACTTATACGTTAGTGCTCGACCTTGATGAGACTCTTGCTCATTATTTTGAGGTTGGCCAAGAAGGAAGATTTTTGACAAGGCCTGGGTGTCAAAACTTTTTGAAAACTATGAGCAAATACTTTGAAATAGTAATCTTCACAGCAGCAATACAGGACTATGCAGATTGGGCAATTGACCAATTTGACTCTGAAGGATATATAAAGTATAGGCTTTACAGACAACATGCTCTTCGATGTGGCTCTGTATATATTAAAGATCTTTCCAGGCTTGGAAGAGACCTTCGGAAAACAATTATAGTTGACAACGTCCCTGAAAATTTTCAACTCCAACAAGACAACGGTATTTTCATTACATCCTGGTTTGATGACGTAACAGACACTGCTCTCACAGAACTATGCACAATTCTCAAAGATATCGGCAGTCATAAGGGTAGAGACCTTCGTGAAGAGCTCAGAAAATACAGGGACCTTCAATCCTGCAACTCAGAAGCCAGTGAGTACCAAGAAGACTAATCTCTTCCAATCTATTCAACAATTCAAAGCAGCTAAGGGGTTTTGGGGTTTTGGGGTTTTGGGGTTTTGGGG